CCCCCCCCTTAAAAACTCGAAATTTCGTTTCCGTAATCTGGCAGTGCATTTAAGCACTTTACGAAAACCCCTCGTATATCTCTCACTCCCTGACGTGACGTAGCATTCGATACGGCGCGTACTCATAGTGGGGGATAAATAAAGGGAGATCTCCCCCGTCGCCCCCTCCCCGTCCCGGCGCATGCGTCCGCCCATTCAACCCCACCTCACCCCGGCTCCGGGGGGATGAAAAAACCCCCACTGTGCAGCCCCCTCCCCTCCCCCTGCAGCCCCTAGTGCGAAGAATACACACACAACCCCCTACCACCCACACAACCCCACCCGAATCACAGCGAGTGCTCGTACTCCACCTCCCACTCCCGCTGGTATCACGAGTCAGGGAAGAAGGGTGTAAAAAAGAGGAGAAATGCGAGTGCCGATCTTCAGCCGGTGGTGGCGCTGCTCGGCGTCTCCCGTCAGTTTTTCACGTACCACTGAGGCGGTAGCGTCACCCCTCGCCGTTTAATTCAAAATCGCGAGTGTTGATGTAACACAAGTGCAGATCACCTAGTCATTCAATAATACCCAATAATTGATCACCAGAGGATTGAGTGAAGTGACTAAAAGTGTGATGGATGCAGTATCACCAAGGATTCAGTGCAAAATGTGAAGTTGACAGGTGATATTTCATTGATAAATAGGGGTGCGGGTTCAGCCAGCATCAGGCAACCTAGTGTCTCCATTCGCCCTGGCGTCATGGACCGACGAAAGTTGGAATCATTATTTCGGAGAAGTTCGTTCTAGTGATGTCATTTGATCCGGCCAAATGATGATGGCTTGGTGATGGATAGCAAGCATATCAGAAGTGTTTGATTCCTCGAGGATAATGACGAGAGGACATCATCTTCCGCCCATCGGCGTAATCCTTCTCCTCCTGATCAGCATCATCGGCGCTGACAAATGCGCTGATGAGTGTACCTGCAAGTGGAAGAGTGGCAAACGAACAGTTGAGTGTGTCAATCGTTCATTAAACTCAATACCAGATACGATAGACGCTGAAACACAGGTGTTGGATGCCAGTGGTAACGACATAAGAGTATTACCAAGCAACATCTTCATTCGGGTTAGTTTAACGAATCTTCAACGGCTGTACCTTCGTGCCTGTCGTATGCAGCAGATCGATAAAGATGCATTTGCTGGGCTGACTAATCTCGTTGAATTGGACCTATCCAACAATCGTCTCACCCTAATACCAAGTGACAGTCTTATCAAAGCCCCATTTTTACGTGATTTATCATTATCCCATAATCCCCTGGAGCGTGTATTCAGTCAAGCATTTCGTACAACTCCAAATCTCGTTAAACTCGATTTATCCAACGCCCAAATAGCTGAAGTTGAGGCTAATGGTTTTCGTGGATTAGACTCACTGGAGAGTCTCAAATTAAATGGTAATCGCATTGGTACCTTTCATCCCGGTACATTCGAGCCCCTCAACAAGATAAAGAGTGTAGAATTACAGGATAATCCCTGGATTTGCAACTGTCATCTGCGGGAGATGAGACAGTGGATGGCTAAGCACAACTTGCCTATTATCATATCGCCGGTTTGTCATGGCCCAGATCAACTTGTCGATCGTTCTTTCACGGATCTTGAGCTCGATGATTTTGCGTGTAGACCTGTCTTGATGATAGCCAGTCGTTATGCTGAAGCGACGATAGGTGAAAATGCTAGTATAGTGTGTCGTGTGTCAGCAGTTCCACCGGCTAAGGTCAAGTGGTTCTGGAATGGCAAGCTTTTGTCGAATCACTCGGCCTTCAGTAGCCACCAGAAGATCTTCATTTACGAAGAGGGACAGTTTTCTAAACGAAGTACGTTGATTCTGACCAACGCCCAGGAGTCGGACTCCAGTGAGTTCTTTTGTGTTGCGGAAAATCGGGCTGGTTCCGTTGAAGCCAACTTCACGCTTCACGTGTCATTGAGGACTGCTGGCATGTCAACTTTAGGTTCTGGTCAGATTGCCGGTATATCCGCGGCACTGGTCGTTCTCATCCTCTTTATCCTCCTTATCATCCTCGTTCTGTTCGTTCGGCTTCGGAGGATGCCTGTCAAGGACGTTAAGAACGCCACAGCCACTCTAGAAGTTCTTCCGAGCGATACCAATCAGGACGTAGGCGGGGGCTTCCCAACGTCACCCTCGTCTACCAGGAAGATTGAAGACGCTGAGACAACATTCAACGACTCCAGCAAACCAGTCTCACTTACTCTGAACTACGTCCAACGGACGTCTGTGGAGAACACCTCCAGTGATTACGTCTTCGAAGAAGCTAGACCGGTTATTCATGGGCCATGCTTCTCGTCAACGACGTCACTGGTGCCCATCGATAATCCCGATCTGATCAGGGATACTCGTACGTCGATTGAAGAGCTTGGGTCCTACACAACGGAACAGCTGGGGACCATCATGATGGAGGACACCAGGCTGCTGTACTCCAGTCTGTGGAATACGAGAGAACGCAGCAGTCCGAGTTATCCGGTTCCAAATGCAAGTGGATTCGGAGCCAAGGAGATCCAGGCCAATTTGACACCTATCGAGCAGTTTCCACCTGGAGCGAAACAGCTCAGGGTCTGGCAGAAGGGGGTGCCTGTGCTACCTCCAGTGTCGGCGTTGAAACGGGTCCTTGGGTCGACCAGGAGTTCGCCAGATGAGGGGTATCAGGAGGGCACCGGTACTGATGTCTAGGTGCCGCTGCTTCATTACTGCGACCCACGGCATCGGTATCTTGAACTCATCCGGAGGCATCAGGAGGACAGCAGGAGTGATCTGGGAGATGGTTTGGAGTGAATGGTGTGTTGTGGAAGTCTGTTCAGTGGGAGAAAGGACGATAACCGTTGGTTGATCATGCTTAAGCCAATCGGAATCGCGAAAGAGTGGTGACGCGATGGCTTATTGGACCGTCGAATTTAGGCGGGAAATTTGAATTCAGTTAACGTCAAAATGGGTTTTTAGGACGGGGATTTTTTTTTATTGGGGTGGAGTTAATGTTGCTGATGAAGTGGATTATCGCAGTAGTGAAATAGAGGGGAAATTGAGAGGAATGAGGACAATTGAGGGTGGTCCCTCGGCGATTCCCCTGGGGGCTTGACGAGGTCAAATGGACATTATTAATGCAGACACTTGGCTGTCCCGTTTTCAGGCACAATATCAGATTATTCGAGAGGGAGGTTTACATACCAAGGTGGATTTTCGGTTGAATTAAGGAATTTTTTTATTTTTAGTTTGTTGATTATGAGGTTCTTTTCACGAGTTAAGACTGTACATGTTATTGAGGTGGGGAGGGTGTATAGATAGCGATTGAATTTATTGGAGATACGTTGAGTTTATATGGAGATACAAAGGAAGTTAATATATATATATATGTATACACACTTTTTTTAGTCGATTCAATAATTAGGATAGTGGGGGGAGGGGGGTGCGGAGGGGGGCATTGGTGGGGAGTAAAGTGGTGGAAGTGAGGCTGGATGTGTTTTACGGGATATCTCGGGATGGAATGGGTTTAGAGGGAAATGCCATTCAGATTTTTTTGTGGGGAATTCACTTTTCCACAGAAATTGTCTTGTGAGGTTTTTTGATATGATGGAAAATTAATTAGATAATTGAAGAAATAGAAATTGGTGATTGAAAAATTCGGGTAGGTCTTAGTCTGCAAATATCTGGGGAACTAGTGGAGGCAGGAAAAAACGTCATGAATCTTTTTTGTAGATTGTGAGATTCTTTTCAAAAATGTCTTGTGACTTTTTTTTCTAAAATCAGTCATTACAAAACCCACTTGTTCTCGAATTATCAGCAAAATAATACTGGAAATTCGTTTTGGTCTCGTCTCATTCCACCACTTCACTATTAATTATCGTAATTACCTCGGTAATAACACAAAAATGACAGTTTTCTCATATTCAATCCAACAATCGAGATGTTCTCGTCCCAACGATACTAGCCTCGCCGCAAAAAAATACTCAAAATTGAGAGAATGTTTTTTTCAATGAAAAAAATATTTAATTGGTTTTAGGGAATTCCTTAGGGAGTCATGGGGTTATAAATAATTTTAAATAATGAAGATTATAGGGGAAAAATTAACGTTGTTTGTTGTCTGGATATTCGGCAGGCAGAAGTCTGTCGCAATTACGTTATTGTACGGTATAAATAAGTGTGAATTTTTGTGAGTGACAGTGCGAATGGGAATTTGAGTGGATCGAGTGATCAAAATGCGTGAGGAATATTTTATAATAATCATCAGTTGATTGGGGATTTTCGATTTGTCAATGTTGGCGCGACTTGTCAACACTGCGTCATCCAATTCATTTTGTTTTATTATTTCAATTCTTTAGTGAAATGATGAGACAGGATAAATCAATTCAGCTTCACATCAGTTCGGTTTTTGATGGATCTTTTTTGTAGTGCGACACCAGAGCTACGTAACTCATAATTATCATGAAAAAAATACTGAAATAATAAGGACACACGTGACAAATCGATAAACATTGATAAATCTCAAAGTCAAGCGATTGAATTTCGTTTTATAAATTCATCAAACTTATTGAAACATTTGGAATTCAACCTAATATTTACCACTATTTTATAATTACCATTTCAACGACATATCCGGGTGGATTGAGTCAGCATATCGAAGAACATATTACCAAAAACGAAAAATTGGGAAAGCAAAGAAACCAAAGGAAAATATCTGCTAAAAATCACCACATTTTTCATTCTCGCTATACCTAGAATCAATTATTTAAATTTGTACATATCAGAAATTCCCAACGAAAAGATATTCATCCTAGGGCGTGAGGGATTTCCATCCATGAATTTTTTACTCACTTCCCCTTGAACGCAGACATTTTTCTTTGCGGGAATTATCCATCAGGCATATCACCGATATGACATTTTACTCTCATGAAATTCGAATTCTGGATGTTATGAAATTTAAAATTAGCGAGGGGGTGAGGCGAATGGAGATAGGAGAGTGTGAAGAAATAACACGTGAGGTGTCGTGGGCTGATTGATTCGGGGTTCAGAGACGTTAACGGTTTTGCCGATAGATCGATAAGGGGTCGCTCAATGTAGAACCACGGGGGACAATAAAGCGAGATGAATAAAGATTATATACACGAAGAATAAAAGTAACTCTTGGTTATGATAGGATGGAATTAGCCTGAGAATGAGGGGGTTCAGGATGAAATGTCTATAAACTTTTTTGTGGGGAATTAAATTTCATGGAAAAAAGATGTTCTGACGTTTTTCGCTGCGGAAAAATAACTATTTCAGGATTCAGGGAATTTTTTATTCTTTTCAGTTGAGGGTCAAATGGTTTTAAGGGTCTAGGGAGCTAGAGTCGAGTGGTTAGAGAGGTTTATTTGACCCTTAATTCTACATGTCTCCAGGGCTCGTTCGACCCTCGAGACATTTTGACCCTGAATTCCAAACGACCTTGAAGGTCATTTGACCCTCAACTAAAACTAAAAAAAAGGTTCCTGAATGAAGTAAAATAAAACACTAGAAGAAATGACTATTCAGCGGAATTCATGATTTTTTTGAGGGTTAACTACTCTTGAGGGTCAAACAACCCTTAAGAACCTGTAAGGTCAAGGGTAAAATCGCCTCGGAATTTTGACATTTGACCCTTCAGGGCTTGAAGGGTCGTTTGATCTGCAACGCCCTTTAACCAGCAACTCCAAACTACTTCAAGGGCTGTTGAACTCTCAAGACCCTTGGGTACATTTGGAGTTGAAGGTCAAATGCTAAGGGTCGTTTGACCCTTGACCCTTGCCACGTCCTTAAGGACCTTCAACACAATTTTACCACCAAATCCATACTACTTGAAGGACTATTTGACTCCTAAGACCCTTAGGAACATTTGAAGGTCAACTGTTAAGGGTCATTTGACCCTTAATCCTTGCTACGTCCTTAAGGGTCGTTTGAACCTCAACTAAAAAATAAAAAAAAGTTTCCTGAATTGTGCTAAATAGTCGTTTTTCTGGGTCTCACCTGATGCAGTGTTAAAAATCGGAAACACTCCCCTAAAAAAATCCTCCCCCTCCCCCTAAAATTGTAGAATGGGTCCACAAGTGCGAAGACCGAAATTAACCCCACAATTGGAGTATCTGTATCCCCCGGCATCCGGAAGAAAATGTCTCACTGCCGCCAAGATATTTTATGTCTCACTAACGTGAGATATTTTATCGCTGTAGGTGTGGGGTGGTGAGAATGGGCCAATGTGGAATAACTTACGTCGTACCGTCACGATAACGACGCTGGGCCACGGTAGTTTAGAAGGACGCCACTGTGCAGTCGACAGCCGACTCCACCACATTTGTAACGAGGTTCGATCGAATAATTAGACTTTTTAGTAAGTTTAATTGTTGCAACACTCTCTTTCTTTCATTCTCGACGAGTTAGGGGCGCCATCACCTGACCCTTCAGACGTGTGATCCAATTAGGTTCGTAAATTGGAAACTTGAAGCGTGATTACGAGTTTTTTCACATTTTTTTAGAGAGTGAAATAACGAATAATCGAGTTTTAAAGGGGGTGATACGTTGCTTCGGGAAGGGAGTGGTTTGGAAAAAATTTCAGAAGATATTTTTTATAGAGGATTTCGCGGGGGGGGCTCTTCAGCATTTTTTTGAGTAATGGAGATGAGGATATTGTCAATCTCCTTTCTCTTTATATAATAAAAAAATGAGGAGGTTTCAAAATTCAGCGGACGCCCCTGATTCTGGCCCTTACAGCCAGATAGAATGTTTTTCAATAGCTGGGGAATATTCTAAATATTATCTATGAAAAACATGGGGACAATCGTAAGAAATACCTGTTTTCCAGGGATATACCTTAAATTCTTCATAGACCCATGCTCTTGACTCATGACCAAGCAATGACTCCGCATTTTTCAAGTGCTAATTACCCCGACACTTGTCTCTCAATCGACTTCTCCAGTTCTGTTCGCATTTTTTGAAATCCACTGTAAATTTTTATTTTTATTTTTAAACTTAAGTTCTTGTCCCGTCAGAGACAAGAACTACAAAAACATCAACAAAGAAATTTCGAAGTGTAATTTAAAATCTCTCGTTAAAGTCTCGAGCACCGGAGTCAGGAATTAAAATTCGCTGGAACGTTTTCCATTAGAGAGTGATTTCACATTACCAACTTCTGATATTGTTGGGCATTTCCGTGGCGGGCGGGGAGTTGGGGGGGGGGTGGAACACTAGGAGT